TCAGCACAAGTCTGAAAGGTCGAAGTGACTGTGAGCTTGTTTATTCTTCGCTCAAATTTCCGATCCGGAATGTCCTCAAAACTTTATTTTCGTGTCTGCCGGGGGAATGCGTTTAGTAGGTCATGAGATAAAGTAAGGACCCTTGGGGTCAAGATCAGGAAATAACAACACGATATCCTACAAAAAGTTCACGCGAGCCGGTGATTTCTGAAACGCATTCGTGTCGTTTTACTCACATGTGCTTCCTAGGGCCCGTGTCTCGGTCCCTACTAGTAACGGTTTCTTTAAGAATTCAAAATTTTTTGACGGGCAACACTTCACATTTGAGTGGACCACAATGTCCGTCAAAAAAATACCGGTTGACTAATTCCGAAAAGAGATTCAGTTCAGTTCAGTTCAGTTTATTGAGGGAAATAGGCGTAAGCCTTTGAGTACCCTATTTGCAACGTAAAAAATGTGTGGTGTACAGATAGATGTTCTGGGCTGAAATAGTTCGAACACGCCCATAATGGTGGGACAAAATGAGAAGGAGTTACAGGCGGTGAGCTCGACTTCTCATCGACTTCTCATTTCGGAACATAAATATGTCCAGATTCTTCTTAAAACTTTGTATAGATGGTGACATCACAACATCTGCGGGAAGCTCATTCCATGGTTTGACCACCCGAACCGAGCAGGAGAACCTCCGCACATCCAGCCGTGCCTGCTGAGTGCGCAGTTTTAACGGGTGACCTCGGAGTTTGGTCGTGGTAGCAAATTCAAAAAAGTTCTCGAAGGCCAGACTGCAATCCAACCCCTTTACAATGCGGAAGGCTTGCAAGAGATCTCCGCGAAGTTGCCTGTAACCCAAAGGAAAGAGGTCCAGATTTACTAGGCGGGTCGCATAAGGAAAGGAGCTTTGACCCCTAACCATCTTCGTGGCTCTCCTCTGGACTCTTTCGAGGCAGTTTTGATCCACAACAGCCCACGCCCTCCAAGCTTGTATGCCGTACTCTAAATGCGGCCGGACGAATGTTCCGAATGTCTTTGAGAAAGCATCTTCGTCAAAGTCCATAAACGCACGCTTGATGGCGTACAGTACGGACATTGCGCTTTTTGCCACCCTCGAACAGGGGGCGGATGGTTTTAGGGAACTCGTCGTAAGCACACCGAGGTCCTTTTGGGCTTCGACCTCTTGTAGGGCTGCACCGCCCAGAAAGTAGCCCCTTGTGCTGGCGGATCTGGCTGTGTTACCTAGGCGAAGTATGCCACATTTGGCAACGTTGAACCGCAGGAGCCAACGGTTTGACCACTCCTCCAACCGATTCAGGTTCATCTGCAGTATGCCTTAATCGGCAGGACCCCGAATTACACTCCATATCGTCATGTCATCCGCAAACATTGCTAGTTCACAGTCTAAATCTCTTGCGGCATCGTCCACGTAGATAAGGAACAGAATGGGTCCCAGTACTGAACCCTGGGGGACACCACTATCGACCATAGCCGGATCTGATTTTCCGCGACCGACGCACACAACCTGCTGTCGACCCACAAGGAGGTTTTCGATCCATTTAAGGAACTTGCCACTGATCCCTATTTTTTTCAGCTTATGTAAGAGCCTTTGGTGTGGCACAGTGTCGAAAGCCTTCTGGAAGTCGATGAAGGCTATGTGGACCGCGTGCCTCTCGTCGAGAGCTTGGGTCCGGCTCTGGAGAGATTGCAGCAGGTTTGTCGTGCAGGATCTTCCTTTTCGGAACCCATGTTGGCCTTTCGATAGCAGGCCGTGAACTTCCAGGAATTGCATTAGTTCACACTTTATGATCCTTTCCATAACTTTGCAGAGAATGCATGTCAAGCTTATGGGCCGGTAATTTGTCGTCGCTGCCCTGTTAACTCCTTTGTGTAGCGGAGTAATATGCGCCAGCTTCCAATCGATAGGAAGTGTTCCAGTGTCAAATGACGTTTGAAAGAGCATCGACAAAGGCACAGAGAGCTCACGGGCAAGTTCCTTCAGAAGCTTGGATGGAATCTCGTCTGGTCCTGGCGACTTCGATTGGTTCAATGCCTCTAATTCTCTTCGGACAATGCCTTCTGAGAAGAGTATATCACTGACGCTTGGAGTCGGCAGTTCTTTTGTGGAGGGAGGAAGGAACCTTGCCTCGTTTGTGTAGACTGATTGGAAAAACCGTGAAAAATACGCAGCTTTATCCCTACTATCAGCGATATCAACGCCATCAGTAGTCTTTATCAAGGGAATTTGATGCCTGTTCCTTGTAGTTCGTCGGAGGTAGCTGTAGAACAATTTTGGGTTCTGCGTTGCTTTTTGTAGCAAGTTCTTCTCGAATTCCCTCCGCGTCTGAATTATCAGCTTCCTCAGTTTGTTCCTCTGTGTCTTGTAGGTGTTGAAGCATTCAGCTTGTCTAGTGACGCAGTATTTTCTCCACAATTTGTGCTTCCTGTTGATTTCTTTCTTGAGGTTGCTATTTAGCCACCCAGGGCGTTTGTTCAGTCTTACACTAGTCAGTGGGCAGTGGTTGTTGGTGAGCTGCAGAAGGACATTCTTGAACAGCTCCCAGTCATCGTTGGCACTTCCCGTAAACAAAGAGTCCCAGTCAAGACCGGATAAGTCTGCCTTCATCTGATTGAAGTCGCCCCACCAAACATTACGCCTTTTGTGGTCTGGAGTATGTGAAATGGAGAATAACGAACAATCCCACATAAGCACTACGTGGTCACTTCGGCCAAGGTGCGGCATGGAGACGATCTCGTCTATCCTGTCTGGTGTTTTCGTAAAGACCAGATCCATGCAGTTTGCCCTTTGTCCTTCACGTGTTCTCGTTGGGAACATTACATGTTGTGTGAGGCACGCATTTAATGTCTTGCTCAACAGGCGGTAATCGAATGCCGATTTTGGACCTGACGCTTGGAGGGTATTCCAGTTTGTTCCTGGGGCGTTGAAGTCGCCCATGATCAAGATGTTAGGTCGACTGGAAAATTTCTCCAATTGCTCCAATAGTTGAGCGTCGGCATTTCGGTCTGTCCTAGGTGGTCGGTAGACAGTAAGGACATCGAGACACGGGGAACCGGTAGCCTTGATGGTCAACCAGATAGCTTCTGTACTGCACGCTAACTTGGTGGTTTTATCCGACACTGCCAGACCGTCATTCACATACACAACGATACCACCACCCTGACGATGTTCCCTGTCCCTCCGATAAATTTGGTATCCAGGCAAGGCTACTTCGTTATCGCTAATATTCCCGGACAGCCAGGTCTCAGTTACTGCTAAAACATCTGGAGACAGCTCAACAAGGCAAAGTTTTAGTTCGTCTAGTTTCGATATGAGGCTTTGGGCATTCGTGCACAAGCACCTCAGTTTAGCACCAGCCGAATTTCCCGTTGCATTTGTTACTGCTGTGAGCATTACTCCGTTATCGCGGACGTCTTGTTCTCTAGGCTCTTCCGTTACCTGATTGGTTCCATTTACATACCTTGTTTCAGTCAGATCACTGGACGCTACGGGCTCACTTGTGTTGGCGCCTTGATCAGGTGGTTCAAAGAAGGTGTCTGTTTTAGCTGAGTAGCTGTCGTCGTTCGTAGTATTACAGGCTGGTTCCACTGAAACGGCATATATTTCCGAACTACCTTCCCCTTGAAGATAGCCAGATTGCGTTCGCCATCCTTCAGTCTTGATTTTAACTCCAAGACAAGTTCCCGGCGTTTCAACCGTTCCGCTGTTGAATAGTCGGGTTGAAAAAAAACCTGTTTGTGTGTGTTTCTGAGATCGGTTTTTTTAGAGAGGATAAACTTGATTTGCTCTTTGTTCTCCAGCATAATTTTGAGAGGACGAGGTGGTTATGCTACTGTCCTGTCTTCACTCCTTTTTCCTATCCGGAATGCTTTTAGAACCTTTGTTTCCATGTCTGCTGGCAGTAAATGATTTAGCAGACCATGAAAAGAAGCAAGGTCCTCTGAGACACGGTCTTCAGGTCTGACTGCATTCGATTCTGACAAACCCTGAATAACCAGACACTGCTGGCGAGCATGGTCCTCTTACTCTGTCTTTCCGGTGAATGCGCTGCATGTGGGCGAGGACGATTTACGGAGTCATCGCTTGGACGCACACTTGTACTGTCTACCGACTGTCCCGAGCAACCCATCAGGGCTGACTGGGACTTCAGAATCCTGTCATGGCGTTTCCCTCTCCCCTCTACCCA